ATGGAGGTTCAGGCACAAAATGAGTTGCTCATGTTTACAGAAAGATGTTGACTATGATTAAAAGAAACTGAGAGGTATCTCTAGGGTCAATGTCATGGATCCCTCCATCTAAAGAGGTTTTGTGTTGCACTATTTTTTCTATTGTACAGAGCACCTGAACAACCACAGCGTTTCCTCTTTCATCAGTCTCAACTTTAAGGACCTCTAAAATAAAGCAGAACCATTTTAGACCCAACTGGAGGGAACCAGAGTATTTCTGAAGCTACATTAACAAGGTCAAATTAAAAACATCTGCTGCAACCTGCTGTAAAGCTGTTCCAGTCATTTCCTGTGACTCTGTCTTCTCTCCTGCAACGTGTGGTGACGAGTCAGACACAAAATGTGAAAAAGCTTTTGACAAATTAAAGACATGGAGGATTTTTTTTTTAAAAGTGCAGAAATGTGATCAGCATGGACTCTGAAGAACAGCAGGTCCGAGGAGGACTTCAGGATCAGGTCCGAGGAGGGTTTTGGGATCAGGTCTGAGTCTCTGACCGGGTTGACTGGACCAGGTTGTTTGTGCTTTGTAAAGTTTTAAGATCACTTATGTTCAGATAATAATAATGTACAAAAACTGTCCAGCAAAGACGGCAGAGTGTTTCATACAGACTGCTCTGTTTCCATAAACATGGTTCTGTAGCTTTGATCTCTCCACCTGTTCTAGAGCTTCATGGTGAGCTTCATGAGCCTCCTACAGTTTTACAAATACACTTGATTTCTACATGAATTGTCTCGTCAGGGTTTAGTCTCACTGAGCTTCAGGAAAATTCAGCACCACCCCCCCCTAACTAAACCAGAGACCCTGAACCAGCCTAGATCCATCAGAGGATAAATACATCTTCCAACATCTCCATCACTGATGTACATGGCACAGAGGGCACTTTCCATTCTTCTAATTTATGCTTCCTTCCACCCTCACTCCTTTGCGAAGAAAACCGTTCTCCCTCCACAGCTTCACAGGTAGATCCTCCTCCAATCTGATTGGTTTATTGATCGATCAGCTGATCTGACAGGACTGTGAAATAGGTGACCAGGCGGTGGTGGAAACAACTTTACTGTAACTCTGAAGCTTTTTTGTTCTTCTCCTTCTTTTCTTCTTTTCCATTTCAAGTTGATCTCGGCTCAATAACAAAAATAACTGTAGATTTTATTCAGAATGTTTACAGCTGTTTTTGCTCCATCCAATGAACAAAATGTAATTGTGTATATGAGGGGATCCTTTTCTTTGTTCACATGCATGAGAACGTCAGAGCTCCAGATCAGCTACTACATGAACCTGTGGTACTTTAATGGGTTGTGTTTGTGGTGTCAGGGCATTTCATTTTAAAACTCCTTTTTATGTTTACCAAACACACTGAAGCCATTCATATTTTCTAAGTCAAGTTTTCAGTTGAAGTAAAAAAAACTCAATTCACAGAACATATAACTGCAAATAACGCTATACTACAGTACATCATGGGATTGTCAGGTGTAAGGGTGGATTTTTTTTTCTCTTCTGATGTAGCTAGGCTAACAGTTTACATCTGTTTCCTGCCTTTGTGCTAAGCTACAGGCTAAACACGTCCTGAACCTGTCTGAAACTGACGCTCGTCTGACTCTGGAGGAGTTTCCTAACAGGAGGATTTCCCAACATGCTGGACTGTTCTTTAAATCTTGTTCCAGTTCCCACAGTTGCAGCTTTCACTGCTTCTTCATCAGCAGCCACATACTGATGCTAACAGCTGGTTCCTCCAGTGAGTCTGACAGATGAATACAGACTGTGTCGGCTTCTGCTTGTGGAAATCATTTAAAGTTTCCTGACGTGTCTCTCTCCACTGCAGTCTGTCAGCTCATCAGACCACCTGCTGCTGAAAACACTCAGTGTCAGTGTGTTTGTGAGGAGGGCGAGGACAGTTAGCTTGTTGGCTTTGGTCTAATGACACAGGAAGCAGAGCCGACCCGCAGTCTCTCAACCACCAAGATCATAATGGAGATGTTATTAGTCTTATTAGATAAAGGAATACTTCAGTGTTTTCCTCACTTATCTGTTTATCTTTTAATGGCTGCATTTATGATCGATATGTGAAAAGTCATCAAGACCACCACAGGATGTGGATGTAGAAATGAAAACAGTGCTCCAATCTGCCACCAGGGGGCAGCAAGCAGACTGCTGCTGCTAATATCTGATCTAATGGTTTCATGATCTGGGCTTTGCTTTCTCTTTATGTTAGTGAATTAGCGACTGTTTACAGATTGAAACATGTTCGGTGTAATAGGATTATGAATACTGAAGGTTGGAGTAGCCAATACATTAATGAGAAATTACCACGAAAAGTTGGTAAGTAAGGGCGTGATGTGTGCAGCTGTACAGCCTGTTGTGACAGTAAACACAGTTTCACTGTTTGTGTGTAAACTGAAAATAGGGACTTTAAGCAGCAACGGGTGAAGTGATGTACCTGTATACATTCGAACGTGTTGCCGTAGTGTTGGAAATCAAATATCACTAAGCACGATTTCACTCTAACAACAGCTACTTCACTTCTTCAGGAAACCAAGGTCGCTCTGAACATATATACTGTATCTGTGTCCCAGTCATAGACTCTAAATAAAGATGGACGTAGTCTCCATGACCTCACCCTTGGGATTCTGAAGAGTGGTTTTTAAAAGCTCAGAGTGGGCCGCGCCATCGTCGCCATCTTACCTGACTCCGCCAAACACACGGCTAATACAAAAATGGGCATGAGGAGAGACGCGTGTCGAGCCGAGACTTCGGTGCATGCCGGCTTGTGGCAAGCATACGCTCACCCGTTTTTGTACCAGGCTGTAAACATGTTTATTTCTGCTGTAAAGTTGGACATTGTAACATGGGAGTCAATGGAGATTGAGTCAGCCACAAGCAGCCATTCGAAAAAGTGCAGTTTATGGTTCTTCGGTGTTGGCTTCATTTTTCAGCCTCGCTTGGTCCCAATTCAGGTTCTCATCCTTCAGAGGCTGTGTTTGAAGACCGATAGCACCACTCCAACAGGTGGATCCTTCATGGTGCAACATATCCCAAGATTCATGGTGCACCAGCAATGAAAATTATATGGCAGCAAACCTGAGGAGCCTGAGGATTACACTGTAAAATTTAAGTATTGGGTAAGTTCAACATCTAATGGTTCAACTGTTAAAACTAAGGCCATTAAAACCTCAAGTTTTTATGGCTTTTAGGTAGCATGTTGTAGAGTTCGCTAGGCAGCAGGAGCATGCTTTGCAATGCAATGGTAAAGGCAGGAACAGCTGGTGACTACAACGGCCACAAAGAGCCACATCCTTTGTCGAACGCGTCCTCTGAAGGATGCAGCCCCTGAATTGGGACACAGCTAGTATGTCTCTTAAAATGACCTGAGAACTCTTGATATTTTCTTTAGAGACAATTAAATATCAAATGAGGAGTTTATTTAAACTCGTCTGTTACTACAGCACCATGGACAGCGTCATGGTTTCATTAATACACAGAACAGTTAGGTTGTTGGTCTTTTAGTTACTGGAACATAAAGCTAGCTCAGTACTTCCTGTGGTCGCCTCTTAGCAGCCTGAGCACTGCTGGCAGTGGCTGATATGTCTCTGAATAAACTGGAAAAATCTGACAAATTAGCAGATATCTTTAACAAATATACTCATAACCCATAAAACTAATGATGGTATAAATGAATATAAATTAAATGACAGAGTCAAATATGGCAAAAATGTATAATTGTCCGGTAACTCTTTAACATATCACAGGGTACTTCAGGAACTGTTGACGTAGAATCTACGTCATCACATCACGCTGTAGCCGTCCCTTCAACCGTCGCTGCTTAAAGTCCCTAATGACGTTGGTGGGACAGATCACCTGCTTCTGATTGGTCAAAATAAAACACCATAAGGTCCCTCCCGTCAAACAGATAATAGTTTGTAATTTGCTGGATGTGATATGAGGATGTTCAATTTCCAGCCATAACAGTGACCGCTGTTTACTTTGTTCTCAATCGTAACTTTACAAGACGTGTAGTTTGGACATTTGACAGACTCAAACACAACACAGACTTTAGCATGCTAAAATATTAGCCGTGTGAAATGATTAAACTGTGTAGCTATTTATTTAATTTTGTTGGAGGTTGGTCTCATCTACAGTTCTGATACCAGACTTGAACCCAGCAGGTTTTAACAAAGCATCAAGGTGTCGTGTCAGTATCAGTTTGTTACTGAAATTAACACAGAAAAATAAAATACAACAAAACCAAATGGAGTGAAAACCAGGTGGGAGAAGGAGACTGGCTGACTGCCACCTGATGATATAGTGCAGCCAGACCAGGTGAGCTGAATCTCCAGAACAGCCAAACTTTGCCCGTGAGGCTCCTGCAAGGAGGGCAGGCTCAGAGATGGTCGTCACAGTTGTGTAAAGCTTTGGGCTTGTTTTGGTTCTGGGTTTCATGTCGTGTCATGCAGGTAGATTCACAATGCAGGAAGAGAGTGTAGTCGCTGCACTGCATTATATCCAGGGGGGTCTTCAGTCCTGCAGGAGTGGGCCTTAGTGTAAACACTGGTGAACACATTGTTTATTGGCTGACCTTTGGTTATCTAAATGAGGGTTACATTCAGGATGAGCCCAACATTCACAATAAGATCAGTGGAGTATTCCTTTATTACAGTATCAGTGGAATGATTGTTAACGGTGGAAGTAGCTGAACATGTAAAACAGTATTTTGGGGCCTCAAACACAATCCAGTTCAGGGCCACATGGACCCCGGGGCCCTGGTATAAATATTTCCATTATCAGTCAAATCTCATTTTGTTCCTCTGGGCTTCAGTGTTCATACAGACAAAGGAGGAGAGCCAACGAAGACAAAGAAGACCTGTCCTTGTGATTGAGAGTCGGGGTGAGATGGGAGGGGGTCTCTATGGGAGTCATCAGCAGAGTCCCCCTCCCTCCCTCCCCCTGCCTCCTCCTCTGTGGTTTCCACACCTCTACAGCGAGTCCTCTACATGATGCTGCACTTCCCCTTCAGCTTGTCGGCCCGCTTCTGTTTCCCTGACCGTTTGCCGTCGATGCTCAGGCTCATGTCCCTCTTCTTCTCCAGGGCCAGCAGCTCCTGGAACAGTTCCTTCACATTGGAGTTCATCTTGGCCGACGTTTCCATGAAGGCACACTTCCAGGCTGCAGCCTGAGCCTCGCCCTCCTTCGTCTCCACCTCGCGCTGGGCTGTTTCATCGCTCTTGTTGCCCACAAGCATGATGGGAATGGACTCCACACTGCCCTTGATGGCTAGAACCTGGAGAGACACGGGAGTCAGTCAGGACTTCAGTACAAGTTTTATCTAGATAGATACTCTATGTTTGTGACACATAGAGTTCCCCAAGGCTCCATTCTCAGACACTGTCTGTTCAACATCTACATGATCCCACTTCCTCAGATTATTGGAAACAACAAAATATCTTACTATAATTCTGCAGAAACAAAACAAAACAACACAGCTTTATAGAACAACATCATTGATATATCACTGTAACTGCTCTGTCAGACAAAAATAGACATGCTGTAATTTTACATTAATGCAATGTTAGCAGAATGGGAAGAATAAGGAAAATGCTGTGATGCCATTCTTGTGTTATCTAAAGCACTTTAAATGGCCTTACTATTGAAAGGTGCTGTGTAAAGACACTGTCCTTTCCTTTGCATTTCAGTGTGACTTCCATTTGAGGTTTCTTGCACAATATGTTCTGTCAAACTAACATTTGAATAAATGTTATCTCTGAAACTCTGATTTGGAATTCACCTTAAATTTCCATTCAAATAACATTTGCAACAATCTGACACACTGTAAATGTCAGGGTTTCCTCGCAGCCAACCACTTCACCTGAAAACAGACTTATGAAATGGAAGAGCCAACGTGCTGCAGTTAATCTGTTGTGAAACTATGATCTTCTACTCATATCCTAATCTAAAGACAGTGACCTGTTGGTAGATGGGTTTGAGCTCCTCCAGTGATTGACGGCTGGTGATGGAATAGACTAGGATGAAGGCGTGACCTTTGGAGATGGACAGGCGCTGCATGGCAGGGAACTGGTGACTTCCTGTTGTGTCAGTGATCTGCAGCGTGCAGACACTCTTATCACAGCTGATCACCTACAGAGAGAACAGGTACTCATTGATAATTCAACAAGGCAGGTATTATCCAGTTCAAGAGTTTCAATGACAAAAAGAAAAAAGTATTTAATAAAACTAGTTTCATAACAGAGTTCATGTCCCACCTGTCTGTATGTGTCCTCTACTGTGGGGATGTAGGTATCTCTAAAGGTGCCTTTAACAAATCGAAGGACCAGCGAGCTCTTCCCCACTCCACCAGCTCCAAACACCACCACCCGGTAGTCATTACTCTGCTCGGGCATTCTGGGAGTTGGAGTCTAGCTGCGACTCTGGATAAATCACCTGTATGCTGAGGAAGAGACAAGAAGATGGAAGAGCGAAGTTGTGGTAGAAACAAAAAAGAAATCAGTTAATATCAAATCAAACAATATAAAATTCAGGTCGTTCCCATGACTAATACACAAGGAGAAAACGGCTAGAGCATTAGACACAAAGTACTGAGAGGAGGGAGAGACAGTTGGACAAGTGGGGCAGGCACATAGGTGGGAATATATCTGAAATGAAACAGGAAATAATAACTGAAGAAACTAGAAACCAGCAAACATGACCTGAGACAGCAGAGCGTGCTGTGACATGCTAACAGAGTGAGAGCTGGAAGGCAGGAACAGACAAATGATGTGAATGTAATTAGTCTGAGTGCCATTGACAGTAACTGGTAAATGAAAACCACTTTGGTGTTTTTATTGTGGGAGAGGCAGCAGAGTCCATCAGCTGGACGACTGACCTGCTTCAAGTGCAGATTATCTCCATTACAATGAACATGAATTACTCTGTGTGTGTGCGCACATACTTCTATTTTTGTGAGGACCACTTTGAGTCATAGACTTAGAGTGAGTTATAGAGTGAGTACTTTCTGGCCTGTTTCAGTTAAGACTTGGTCTTAAGATTCAGGTTAGTAAAGGTTAGGGTTAGACTACAAGTCTAGGAAATGTGTAATGTCAACTAGTCTCCTCACAAAGATAGAAGTACAAGTATGTGTTTGTGTGTCTGTATGTTAGTGTTTCAGTGCTGTGGCTGTGGTTCAGTCATATTAGATCCGATTGGTTTGGACAACACATTAGTTTAGCAGCAATAACTGGATAAAAGTTCACTGAATGGTTCAGTTAAGTGACTAAATCAGTTTAACATCCAAATAGTTTTGTTGACTGTTTGGGTAGTAGCAGCCAAAACAATTCGGTTCAGGTTGGCTAACGGTGCATGTTAGCACCATTTTCATTCAGGTTAGTTAATGGTTGAGTGTCAGTTAAAACATTTTAGGATAAGTTAACTAATAGCAGCTAAAGCACAACTGTTTGAGGTTATCTGACTGTTCAAAGCAGCAACTGTTTTGTACGTTCAGTGTAGCAGCTAAAATGTGGTTTAGTTTATCTAACAAGTTATTTGGCAACTACATTGCAGCACAGTGCAAATTAACTGTTAGGTTGAAGATAGATGCTTCAGTTTAGCCACTATAGCATAAGTTATTTTTTGGTTAACATTAACAAACAGTCCAATGTAACAAAAAAGACAGTTTGGTTCAGTTTCACAAAAATCTGATTAACTTCACTGTTCATTTTAGTAACTTTTTGGTTCCGATTAGCTTGTGGTTTAGGGTAACGGCTAAAACAGTTAAGGTTAACAAACAGTTCATTTAAGAAACTTTAGGTTATCTAACAGTGCAAGGTAGCAATTATTTGGTTGAAAAGAGATGGTACACTAAAAGCAGCTAAAACACTTTGGTTAAGATTAGCTGGTTAATTTAACTCAAGCAATTTCATTAAGATTTGTTAACAGTTCATTTTTGCTACTTTTTGGTTTATGTGAGCAAACAGTAAAACTTTAAAACATTTGGTTCAGTATAAGAGCAAATACTTAAGGGTTAATTTTAGTAACTTTTTCATTCCAGTAAGCCAAAATTATTAAAAACTAAAATAGCTTGGGTGGTGTTAGTTAACCTGAAATAGATCAGCTAAATGTTCAGAAGTTTGATTTAAGATAGATAGTCTAGTTTAACCACTAAGATGCAAATTTAGGTTAGCTAATGTTTTTGTACTTTTTGTTGTTTTATTTAAAGAAGCAAAAAAAAGCAGATAAAACAGTCATGTTCAGTTTAACAACCAAAACAAGGTGGTTAAGGGTAGTTAACTTTTTATATTAGCCTACTGACTTTTGAGTTCACATTAGCGGTTAGCTAACAATTTGTGGGTTAACAGCTAAAATAGTTTGGTTAAGGTCAACTAACAGTTCTTTTCAGCAACTGTTTAGGTGAAGATAGATGGTTGAGTTCAGCTGTACTTTGGTTTAGGTTAGCTAACAGGTTAAGTTAGCAACTAAAACAACAGATACCATAAGTTTTAGTTTAGTCAAAACAAAGTGGTTAAGGGTAGGTAACTTTTTATTGACTTCTGAGTATAAGTTGGCGTTTAGCTAACAGTTCATGTTAACAGCTAAAATAGTTTGGATAAGGTTAACTAACAGTTCTTTTTTTCAGATGGATGGGTTTAGCAACACTTTGGTTTAGTTATAGTGAACAGGTTAATTTAGCAAATAAAACAATAGATACCATAAGTTTGGTTCAGACAAAACAAGCTGGTTGAGGGAATTACTTTTTAATTTAAGTGACTTTTTGTTTTAAAGTTAGCTAATAGCTCATTTCAGCAGCTAGGTTAAAACTGCTTGGTTAAGCTAACAGTTCAGTTCAGCAGTTACTGCCGCATCCATATTGTTCAGACCGTGATTTCGAGCAGCAAAAACTTATAATGTTAATTACTATAATTAGTCGGGAAATTCTGTAACAATCAATGAAACCTTTCCATTAGGAAATGATTGCTTTAATGATTAGTTATGTAATACGTGATCCTATGTGTTGTGTCCAGAAAATCAGAGATATTTTCTTTGCAAACAGTTACTGATGAATAAATTCTCCTGTGATGATTCTGTTTGTGTTGCAGCACTGTGCCATTTAAATCATTAAAATTCAGTGACTGAAACACGAGGACACTGCATCTGATGAGAGCCTCATCCTCTCTGAACTCTCTGAGCCTATTCACAGATAATGTGACCAGTGGGAATGAATTAAAAACACAGAGCAAATGCCTCAGGGAGTTTCCCAGCATGCAGAGCTGTATTCCCCTCTCACAATGACTAACGAGCATTGATTAGAGTTCTGCATCTCGTTAAAGAGGAGAGCTGATGAAAACCAAAGAAGAAGCAACAGAGGAGTTACAGAAAAGAAAACCTATTTTTCTGCCCTGACACTGAGATTTACACATTCTGAAATATATAGAGTTTCTCAAATATATAAATGAATTCTCATCATTTACTGTTCAACAAGATTTTAGTCCAAAATACTGGAGTAATCATTAAAAGCTACTCACACAGAGATCTTTTGAAAATGATCTACTAATCCAATTTAATTTATTAAGACCCTGCTTTACATTCCAAATAATTGAACAAAGCAAATTTGTAAATTAAAACAGGGACAGATCAGAAAACACTGAATAAAATATAAACCAGAGAAAAATAAAAACCAGTCTGCAATAGGAAACTGTTTGAAATAAAGGTTATCTGAAATAAAGACACTGTTTTTACTCATGGTTGATACTGTCCTGATAAAACCATTTGTCAAAACATTTAGAACAATTCAATATTTTCTTGATATAAATGAGAAAATCCAGTATTTTCCTGACAGTGCCCTGCAGCTCAGAGAACGTCTGTAGAACAGGAGATACCATCAGACCATCTGGTTCTCCCTCCCACTGCTTCCTGCTGTATGAGCCCAGCTGGGTCTGCTTCTTTTATGGCCACAAATTAAACTCCACACAGCATCAGAGTCTGGTTCTTTAGAACTACAGCAGAACCCTGTCAATGTAGAGAGGGGGAATGACATGCAGGGCTGTCCGATGTGGAAATTGAACCGGGGCCAACTGCAGCGAGGACTGTAGCCTCTACACATGGGGCGGATGCTCATCCAACTGAGCTACTCGACGCCCCTGTCAATGTATGTTCTAAGGCTGGTGGTGGTGGTGGTTGTCGCTTGACAAGACCTTCAGCCATCTTTATTTTTTATAAAACCAGAGGTTATAATACGTCCTCTGAGGGGTTGCTATATCTTCAGGACAGACTGGAGACTACAGTGAGTCACTATCGGAAAGACAGGCTGATAAGGGGCTAGCTGGTTAGCATGCAAACTTTAGTAGAAGAAAAGACGTGACAGAGACAAGAGTTAACATTGCCGTTTGTTTCCACCTCACAAGACAGCTGTTGGTGAGTAAAGGACTTAAGCTACTTATGCTAACATTAGCTATGTAGCATTAGCAAAACTTGCAAATAGCTCCTTTAATGACATAACAAGGACGAGAAAATTACAGACTCATTACATCACATATTCACTCTGAATGTAGAGAGTCCCTGTGTAACTACAGTAGTCTACAGAGGGTGTTGCAATAGGGCTTGATGGTAGCAAGTGTTTTCCAGAGTCAGTGAGCAAAAGTGTTTGGTTACTCCAGCTTAACCTGCAGAGGCTTTGCTGCCGAGGAGGAAATGAATTCATGATGCTCACAGCATCTCCGACATCTTTACAGCAGAAATTAACCAGAGAGAAAATCTGTCAAAGGATCACAGCTGTGACAGATGATGAGACTGAAGAGACTGTCAGAGAAAATAATTCAGAGAGAGGAATGGGCCTCACTACAGTAACTCAGTCAGTTACTGAAAAACTGAACCAAACAGACTTTTAGGTAAATAGCAAAATAGTGAATTCTTCTAGCTAATGTCAAAGTTACTAAGAAAACAACAATCTGTGTTGTTTGTGATGATAATGGTCCAAAATGATAGAAATGCATAGTTTCAGTCATTCAAATCTTCTTGGGGGAGGACCCCTAAACCCCCCCCATCTGAATTACCCCCACCCCACCACCCCTATGCCAGAAACCTGGGTAAAACCCTCTAATCTTTTCCCCATGACAGAAATATTTATGGATATTTCAACCTCAGCTTAAATTACAATGGAAGCTGAGATGAAAAGACACAATGTGTTGAATAATTAGCCCCAGGTAAATAAAATAAATCCCAAAATAAAAAGAAAGTGCCATCTCAGAGCAGGGTTATGAAGGGTGGTTAGGTCAGCCAGCAAACAGACAAGGATGTAGATCCCTATAAATCTGTGTTTACATTCAGTCAGATTCAGTGTTTAAAATGATTCATAGAAAAATCTGATTTATTTGGAAAGTTGTAGGAGGCTCACGAGTTCCCATCTCCACAACAGAGGTGGTGAATGCAAAGTTCACATGACCCACAGAGCTACAATAACCACTTTTATGGGAAATACACCAGGTTAAAAAAGACCAGAATTCTCCTTTAAACTGCAGATGAAACACAGAGTCTGACTTCAGATCAGCTGTTGGAGCTGAATGTCTCTGTCACAGCAGCTTCTCCTCACCCACGTCACTGCTCCTTATCTCAACCACAAATTTAGACCGGTGACTAATCAGCAGCTCGTTAATCAATCTGTACAACCAGGAACACACACACAAACACACACCTGCCTCCCGATATCATCCATTGTGTTTTTTCTTCCTGTAACCATGGAAGCACCTGAATGTACTCTGTGTGTGTGTGTGTGTGTGTGTGTGTGTGTGTGTGTGTGTGTGTGTGTGCGTGTGCGTGTGCGTGTGCGTGTGCGTGTGCGTGTGCGTGTGCGTGTGTGTGTGTGTGTGTTGTAAGCATGAGTACGTGTGTTAGTTGTCTGGTTGCTGTGGTGACGGTGACAGATACAGACAGCAGAGATTTATATGCTCAGAGAGGAGTGCAAACATGTCATCATCAGCAGGGCTGTTGTCATGGTTACCCGCCTGCCCACATCATCTGACATCACTTCCTGTGCGGAGGCAGGCAGCAGGGAAAACACCACGACTTAACAACAGCATCAGAAAGACAGAAATAAGTCTGGACTCTGTGGTCCCTCAGGTGATGATGGTGGACTCTGCTGGACTCTGGTCCCTCAGTGTGATGATGGTGGACTCTGTGGTCCCACACAAAAACCTTAGCCTTAAAACCAGCTGTCAGGACTTCTGGAACTTTGTGATATCACAGAAAAGCAGTCACGAAGCCCTGCCCACCTAGATCCACCTTCCAGCCTTGCAGGATTTGGTTTCTCTGAGTGTTTACTTGAAATCTGCTATATTTTTATTGGATCACTTAGAAAACAGTCAGCCAATCAGAAGGGAGGCTCAGAGCCTCCTCTCTTCTGATTGGCTCACTGACCTGTTGGTACTAGAGCTCCAGAGAGAAGCCTGAGAGAGGAGATGTAAAACTACATTGAGATGGTTTTTGGTTCTTAAAACAACAAAGATATCTTCTTATGGATCAACACTTCAAATAAAACACAGAAGAAGAGGAAAATATGGAGCTTTAAATAACGTAACTGCAGCATCAGATCAAAGTGTCTATATTCAGACTTTAGCTCTGTGTGTAGAAACACACTCATAGTCATTTGAATAAGACCACTGCTCTGACACAGTGAGACCAACACAGATGCTCCTGCAACAAAAGGCGGACAAAATAATACCCTGAAGAAAGTTGACCCCGACTCAACTTTCAGTGCAACACCACCTCATCCTGTGAGACACTGGGTTGGCCAGTCACCTAGGTCTGGACACACACACACACACACACACACACACACACACACACACACTCACAAACTCACACAGCATCCAGTGTTTTGTCTTTAGCTCTAACAACACTAAACCCCAGTGGACCTGCAGCCTCCCAGCAGAAAACACCAGTGTGTGTGTATGTGTGTGTGTGTATGTGTGTGTGTGTGTGTGTGTGTGTGTGTGTGTGTGTGTGTGTGTGTGTGTGTGTGTGTGTGTGTGTGAGGGTCACTTAAGCAACAAGCTGCTGCAGTTTCACACCTTCACTGGGTTTTCTCCATCTTGTTCATGTCACCTCAGATCAACAAACATTCTAACATCATATACATACATCACAACTGATGTTTTAAACCATTTTATGACCTTATTTAATCATTCATTTTTTATCATATTCATGTTCTAAAATCTTGTATTCCCTTTCATAGATAAAATTTCTTATTTCTCTTTTATCTTGTTCTATTCTATTTCATTCTATTTATTTACTTATAAACATTTCTTTTCAATTGGTTTTTATTATTGCTCTTTCACCTCTTTCAGTTTTATTTCTCATGTGTAATAGTTCCAAGTTGTTTTACAATTAACATTTGAACTGTCTTATTATCAGCTACAACGGCTAGTATAATCAGTACCAGCTGGCCTAGGAGCAGTGGTAGGACTAGTTATATATTAGTAGTATTATAGTATTAGTGGTAACTTCACAGTGACAGTGTTAGTAATGATAATAATTAGTATAATCTGAAGTGGGGGTGTGGTATAGATTTTTTAATTTTTAAGGTCACTTCTTGAAACTCTTTCCTCACACCTGACACACTGTGGTCACCTGAGGTCTGTACTTAGAAGCAGGATCTCAGGTAAATTCAGGTTTAACTCTAGCTTTCAATCCTACGATGGTGGTTCACTTGTTACCGGGGTAAATCAACATGGTAACTGATGCTGAACTCCTGACCTGCTCCGGCACAGGTTAACTGCAGAGGATCAGATCAAAACCTGTCAACAGCCAAACTACTAACCAATCAGATCACTGAAAAAACTGAGTCATCATTCCTACAGGATCCTGACAGGGACAAAAGAATTTACAATAAAGTGATCAATAATATATATCAGTGGATGGTTTTGCTGTTTGAGTCTTTCCATGTGGTTACTCATGTTTTAAAACAGAGCTTCTAACAAACAAAGGAGAGTTCATCACTAAATAACTACATAATAACTATTCTATTTTCATCACTCTTGTCTTCATCACTGCAGCTCAGAATACATGAGTGTCAAATATGGACCTTTAAACTTGCTCATGTTGGTTAATTCAGTTAAAAGTTTCCCCAAACCTGTGTTCATGAAATGTCCTCTTAAAAAATACTCCCTTGCGTTCAGTCACAGGTCTCCAACTAAAGTTAGCCTCAATCACTCACAGTGAAGCAGGTGATGTGGAAGAAACACGCACAAACACTGAGCTTCAACCAACAACTCCTCCAACCTAAACAACTATCAACCCTCTGATACGACCCATAGGACTGTGTTTCCTGAAATAGCGGCCCTACAGCGGCAGGCGTACCGGACCTCGGTTGTCATGGTGACTATAAAGACGGTCATGGTGTGGTAGGTTTAGGAAAAGATTTGGGTTAAAATAGGTACTTCCTCAATATTAGGTGATCCTTGTTGTCCTGGTTACAATAATAACAGCAAATAGTCATGGGTTATTGAAACAACATAAACAGCTGGTTTCACATGGGAATGGAACACGGCTCTCCTGTGTCATATTCATCCATCCACCACAACCTCCTCCTGACGTGGGCTTTGTCTCTCTTTATACAACGTCACCGCCCTTTTCCCTTTGCTCCTGTCATACTTACTCCGACCTCTAATTGTCACCTAGCAACAAAACATAACTATGGGTCATAATAACCTGCTGCACAGACAACCTGCTGACTCAACAGTATGGCCTCAACCTGAGCAGCTGCTACCTACCCATGTTCATCCTTTGGACACATTTTATCTCGAGTGAAGACGACAACAAACAAAAACACATCAAATACAGAAAAACAACTTCAGCGGCCAGAGGAAACACCAATTAGTTTAACCACTGGAACGCAATCACATTGAGAATATGAAGAGTGCATGGCTCAAAAGTGATCGTTATTTTGTGATCATTAATCGTAATCGAGGTGAAAGTTTGAAATAAATAATTGTTATTTTGATTTGAAGTCATATCCACCAGCCCTGAGTAGTGTATGTGTTTAATCTCACAAAGTATCATTCTTATAATATACCTGTGGCAGGTATTTAAATATCCCCTGTAACACCTGTTCATCTTACATTACAGGTCATAATATTCAAATGACAGTGTTGCTGTAATATTCATCTACCGTCCATGTGCTGTATATTCTTACAACACTCCACACCAAGTTACTATGCTGAATATCTCGTGGCATGGCCTAATACTATAATATTACTGTAATATTTGTTGTGTGTTATAATATCTCATCATAAGATATATCTGTGATTTATATCTGTATTTTTGTATAATGCTACTATAATATTGATATAATAGTTGTGCTGTTTTAATAATATTCCTATGATGTGTTATAGATAAACATAATATCACACTATTCTGACTATATGTCATGAATTCATTAGAATTAATTGAATTAGTCAAATAATTGACAATATTCCTGATAATTCTTCTTCTTCTTCTTCTGCTAATTATGATGATGTTTAACGGCAGTGACAGACTGTCGTGCTCTCTGGCGTCACGACACATAACATACTTATACAACACAAACACACACACACACACACACACACACACACACAGCTGACCTGCTGCTTTGTTCTCCGTTTCAATCAGCTGCAGCTACAGACTCTCATTACCTCCTCACATCATGGTAATCAGTGACTCCGCTCCATAGTAAGGACGGGTCGGGCACGCGCACTGACGTGCACGCGAAAGAAAATAGCTTGCGTGAACGTACAAACACACACACACACACACACACACACACACAAACACATGAAAATAGAGCCCCGGCAACTCGGAGCCGGGCGGTGAAATGAGACCGGCTGTGGAGCTCTGCAGCCGGGCTGCTGTCCGACCTGTGCGCGGTGTCAGTGTGCACTTGTCAGTGTGACTGTCGGTGATGCTGCCGGTCGGTGTGGGTGTGATGATGTTTGCGGACTCACCGTGTCTCCGCGGATCCTCTCAGTCTGTGTGCGGGGTTTGTCTACTCCGAGCGGCTGTGAGCATCCTGAACCCTCCGCTCTCTGACTCACAGCATCATCATCATCATCACCATCATCATCATCATCATCATCATCATCATCAGACCTGCTGCTGATCAGCACACATCAGCCCTCCTCTTCCTCCTCCTCCTCCTCCTCCCTCCATCACCATCACCTCCTTCCTCGGCTCCGCCGTCAAAAACAAGAAACAAGACTTCCGCTTGCATTTTTCAGTTGATTTTCAGAATAAAAGCAACGTTTCTATAAAACAACAGAATTCAAACACTGACTACTACCTTAATTTCCAATGTAAAATCCAGACATCCCTATAGGAGACTAGGTTTGTTTGTAATGGTTGTAATATATTATTGTGTCAAGTGGCCGTAATGATAAAATAAAAGTCACAATGAAGACATTTTTAAAAAAGCAGGCGTTTGCACTTTTATTATAAAGGCTGTACTTGCGAACCGGAAGTCTTTTTTCAGCGTCCATACTGTTATCTCAGCATCCTCCTCCTCCAAAGTAAAAATACATTTTTCCCTCCACACCTTCACTCCCATCAGCGTCACTCAGATACGTCATCAACAGAAAAATAGAATACAGCAAAAAAATATAATAAAACCTGAAACATAAATCCCATTACATTACACTAGAGACAGACACCTGGTATCATACGACCATGATACCAGGTTTGAAAAATATATTTTTAAATATAATATGATATATAATAGATTATTGTCTTGTTGTTTTTTGTTTGTAACATTTGTTTTGAAAATAAAACATATTATTGTTATTATTCTTATAGTTTCTGATCCATTTTGATTTAGATGATTTTACACATTAGATTCATTTACATCACATCATGGAGTTATAAAAAAAACAACAACAGACAAACAGAAGGGACCACAGATAATCTAACATTCAATGAAACACCAAAGAGTTTAGATATGGAGACAGCTCATTCACTTTGTTCTGACTCTGAAATGTAAAGTTTCAGTGATTTTATTGAACATGAACAGACGTGTTGGATCAGCTTCATTTGCTCATCATCAGTAGAGAAGAGTAAAACATTTCAACCTGCAACAGCCTCTATTTTTCTTTCCAGGTGTAATGTGTCAATCTCTTACATCTGTTGTATGAAAAGTGCCCTGCATGAATAAAGTTCATTATTATTATTATTATTATTATTATTTATTATTATTATTATTATTATATTACCTACTTTTTTCTTTCATTTGCTGCATCATGTTTTTAGGATTCACAATTGCTCAAAGTTAAACATCAACAGGTTTAAATTCAGACTGTAAATGTCTCTGCTGCTGAATGTTTCTGTAAATGTAAAATATGTACTAAGAGATGAAGCTGCAGCAGGAAACACAATCAGACCTGTGGCTCCCCCTGGTGGAGAGGTGGAGTACGACAGTGAGAAAATACCCTAAAAACAAACTTGGACTGAAAAACATTTGAAAACATTTTGTTTGTTGTTTGTTTTGTGCTTTTCTTTTTTCAGGGTCACAGGCTTTACCTAGGTGAAGACTGAAGTCACCTGTAAATATAATCTCACCAGAGTGAGTAACAAGGTCTGAAATAAGTTCTCGGAATTCTTCTAAAAATTGTGAATAAGGGCCCAGTCTGTAGGGTGGTGGTCNGAAATGTAAAGTTTCAGTGATTTTATTGAACATGAACAGACGTGTTGGATCAGCTTCATTTGCTCATCATCAGTAGAGAAGAGTAAAACATTTCAACCTGCAACAGCCTCTATTTTTCTTTCCAGGTGTAATGTGTCAATCTCTTACATCTGTTGTATGAAAAGTGCCCTGCATGAATAAAGTTCATTATTATTATTATTATTATTATTATATTACCTACTTTTTTCTTTCATTTGCTGCATCATGTTTTTAGGATTCACAATTGCTCAAAGTTAAACATCAACAGGTTTAAATTCAGACTGTAAATGTCTCTGCTGCTGAATGTTTCTGTAAATGTAAAATATGTACTAAGAGATGAAGCTGCAGCAGGAAACACAATCAGACCTGTGGCTCCCCCTGGTGGAGAGGTGGAGTACGACAGTGAGAAAATACCCTAAAAACAAACTTGGACTAAAAAACATTTGAAAACATTTTGTTTGTTGTTTGTTTTGTGCTTTTCTTTTTTCAGGGTCACAGGCTTTACCTAGGTGAAGACTGAAGTCACCTGTAAATATAATCTCACCAGAGTGAGTAACAAGGTCTGAAATAAGTTCTCGGAATTCTTCTAAAAATTGTGAATAAGGGCCCAGTCTGTAGGGTGGTGGTCTAAAGGGTGGTGGACTGGTCAGAGTTTGTTGTCCTGAACAAAACAATTTATAGCTGATGGAGATGTTTTAATACAAGAGGTCAAATTAAAATCCAGGTTATATTGAAAATAGACTTGTAGAAAAAGCAACACCCCACCTTGTGTAGAAGCCTGAGCATCATGGGTGTTGGTGTTGTCAAGTGGCGAAGCTTCATTTAATGGTAGGAAAACATATGGTCTAATCCATATTTCACACAAACCAGTCATTTCCAGAATAAAGGTTCTGTAGACAATCGTCTCTGCCACTAGATGTTGCACTAGACCAACAGCATCTCAGACCAAAACAAATGCTTCTTTGACCAGAAGCTCACCCCTCCCTTCTTGTTCTCAGTCAGTCAGATGTTACAACAGTCAGTGAAAGTGTGACTGAATACACAACAAGAAGCTCAACTGAATAAAGTTAGTATGAACAGAGAGCCAACAAAAACAATCTCGACACAACCATTAGACCACGCTAGCATAGCTGTGATATGCTCCACAGCAATGCTAACAGTTAGCCAGCTAGCGATAGCAACATTGGCAAACACATTCACAATAAGGGTAACAGCAAGTTAGGAAACATTATCATCTCACCTGCTGCTGTCACTAATGAAAACAGACATGTAAATTTATGAACCAGCTGGACCAATGAGCCCGGCCCACCACTTGTTTGTTCCAGGTGGACAGGTGAAGGAGCAGAGAGCATCAAGATGGCTAGAGGAGGAAACATCAGAGAGACTCAGCCACATGTTTGAGCCTCAGTCAGACCCAGACTCAGATGAGGAGTCTGTTGAGACCAGAACCAGAGACTAGCAGACGGATCAGAACGGTTAGCGTAGTTAGCATCTATTATTAGTTTATTCTTTGTTAGCTTGTTACTGGTGGCGGCTGACACAGTGTTAGCGGTTGTGCTAATTCTAACTCTCTCTCTCTGTACCGATTTTCAGTCTTAGGTTTATTTAGCCCCACCCCCTGTCCCCACAAGTTGACAGGATTGGTTCCTTAGGTTTGTGACGTATGAAACCCTGGCTGTCTGAATCTGTGTTTATGAGACTGTCATTGGTTCACTGCAGTTCAAGGTGGAAACACTCAGTCATGGTGTTGATGATTATTTCACTCATCATATGTCTGTATTATACAAAAATATCATATGGATGTTAACAGGATTAACAACTTGATTTTCATCAGAGGGTCTTTAAAACCACACTAATGTATATTTTGTCCACATTTTCAGCAGAAACAACCTGTGAACAAACCACACTGATATTTCATCAGCTTTGAATTTGATATATAGATATTGATATGATATACAGTTTAATGCTGATGGAGTCACTGCAGGTGGAGGTTGTTCTGAAACATAAGATATTTGCTGGAAAACTATGAAAGGCGGTTAGGGTTACATGTGAATTTCTTTCTCTTTTTTTCTTTTAGAATTCTGATTTTAGTCTCAGAATTCTGAGACTAAAATCAGAATTTTTACATGTGGACCTAATCCTTTTCAGTAGAAAAAAAAACATTATTGTAAACTTCAAATTTACAAACTGTAAGGCAGTTATGAAATTTATGGAAAAATAAACACTACAAACACTACATAAGAGACATTTACACAGAGAAGAAAACAAACACGTTGCCTGTGAGCATTTTATATGACTTGTTTTATACGTAAATGAACGTTTACTCATAAACGTAAAAATTAATCGTAATCCGGCCGCAGTTTAGTTATAAAATAATTTATTCAATTTTTTCTGACACTTTTTTTAAACCAAACGTCATCACTTCATTGTTTTACCTTATTCTGAAACCAAATTTACGCCCTTGAGAGAGCCCCTCCCCCACCTCCCACCGATGATCCCCACCTGCACACAGTGACAGTGTTGATTTAAATACAAATCTAGGAGAAAACAGAGGAGCGATTGAGAGACCTGCACATAAACTGTAATCTCTCTCTCTCTCTCTCTCTCTCTCTCTCTCTCTCTCTATCTCTCTCCCTCTCTCAGTGATCTTCAGCTGTGCTCGGAGTCATGAGGTAAGAACCGACCGCTCCTTCTCCTTCTTCCTTTAACCTACATTTATCTCATCTTATACCCGATTGAACACCTTTAACCCGGGGTAACCGTCCGTACCGACCCGCTCGGGCTTCCACGGCCTGGCTTGGTCCGGTTCGTCCCGGCTCTGCTGCGTGAATGCAGCGAATGAAGACAAAACGAGGCTGGTTGATTAGCGCAGTTCAGATCAGACGGGAGGAGGCTGAAGAACCTACAGGTCAGATTCTAGACTCAAATCCGGATTTTAACGACCAGATCAGGTTTTCATCCTTTTCACCTTTCATCCATCATTCAGGCGGTTTTTTTGTTTTGTTTTTTGGTTGTTTTTTTTGTTGTTTTTTTTTTGGGGGGGGGGGGGGGGGGGGGGGGGTGTAGGGAGGGAGGCTGCGTCCTGGTTTTTCTCCTTGATGCGGGCAGAGGATGGAGGATGGAGGAGCTGATGAATCATAGATGTCGTCAGTAAAGCAGCAGCTAAAAAGCATCAGAGGTCAAATATAAAAACAGATTTTTCATTTCAACGAAGCAGATTCAGCTGGAAACGTGTTTCTATTTCTGTTTCTACTTTCATTGTATCTGCGTGTTAATGTGGATTTGACGTCTCATCGAGCTCCTCTCTGAAATTGAAATCCTACATGTGAATAATCGTTGTTTTTTTTCCTACTGGTTGATGATTTGGGGCCTTGAACGTCTCCTGCGCTCTGTCCCAGTCTGTGCTGGTTTCACTGGGGTTACTGGTTCATGATGCACTGAGAGAGTCTGTGTCTCCTCTGCACGGAAAATCATTAGTATTTATTTATTCCGTTTAAACTCTCGGACC